TTTTTACAAAAATATTTCTGTGGAGACAGAATGGAGAAAGGCAAAGCGATAGCCATTACCCATACTAATGTATGAGTAATCATGACTCCAACAGCAGTGCCAGATCACAACCATCTCAGTGCAGTTTCTGTAAGAAGATGTACCTTGAAGAACTTTTTCTTCCACTTTCAGTGAGTTAGTGCAAAAGGAAGAGTATGGCCCAAGGAAACAGATGGAAAAACATTTCTGACAGCTTAAGTGCAGTTAATTATCTGTAGGCGAAGCGTTCTGCTATCAGCATTGATTTGCTGGATTTGAAACTGAAACAGTCATAGCAGCAACAATTTTATTCAGCATTGCTGCAATTACCTGACTATAAATAGGACAGACAGAAACGCAGAGCAACACCTTGCCAGTGGGGCTGCCTCTTAAGGCCTTTTCAGCTTCCAGTAACAGGCAGCTACAGGCCAGCACCTTTGGTAAGCAGCTCATCCAGGTCTCATCCTCTCACAGTTTGTTTTCCCATCTCCTACCTTTTTCCTATAAGCAGATTCAACAGTCATGGAAAAAAAAAAATTTTTTTTCACTAACTAGGTATCACCATTCTCACTTTACAGATAGTGCAAATGAGGAAAATGAATACTCATTGAAGCATGTGTTCATTGCACAGGAGCAAAGGGAAATGACGTGTTTTCTTATTACTCTTATGTGATTTACCTGTATCACCAGAGGATGTGAGAGAAGAAAACTGCTGTTCCTAAGTAATGACATTCACCCTTCCAGGAAAAGCAGCAGGAAGAGAGCAGGATTGGGGAGGAAATCTCTAGCCTCCACCAACCAACAAGGAGGAACTGGAGACAAAAGGGATACCACAGATTATTTCTCCTTTAAAAGTGCGACATGGGGAAGAGACTGCCTTGTGACAAAAGATTACAGCATTTTTTCTGTCCTTCACCAACAGCTATGCAGTTCTTTACTTCTCTGGCTTTGGTCAAAGTATGCTCAGCTTGTATTTAGCTAGACATATGGCCACAGATTAAGATGGCAACAGATACCTCGTATCCCTCATTCTTCCTTATTCTATTTGTGCTGCTTCTCTTCTTACATGGCTGGCAAGTCTAACAGAGAACATGACAAATCTGGTCTTGAGAACACCCACTATATGTGGGTACAGCTGTTCAGAGGCCAGACCACACAGCACAACACAGAAGAATCCAGGGTAAATTTCTGGACTTTTTACAGTAACCACACACTTCCTGTTATTTCACTGTAGAAAAAAGACTTTGGATTTTTTGTACCCTTTGACAAATCCAGGGAGATAACCCTGTCACTGTAAGAAAATTACTAATTTGAGTACCAGTGTGAATATGGTACCTGCCACTACAGCAGGTAACAGCTTAGCGCTGGACTGCAGCCAAGCAGTGGTAGTCTGTTAGAGTAACCCTCCAACCCACCTGGGTAACAACACAGAGCAAGAAACGTGCTGAGAGCTGTATCTTACTCTGTTGTCCACAGCATTAGTAGCTTCTTGATACTGCCAGACACCTTAGAAGGTCTCATTACTCCTCAGCCTCTGGGTTGGAGATACATGTCTTACACCAAACACTTCCTCCAATTAATGCCTTGGCCAGTTTCATAAGTTATTTTTGCTAAGGAGAAGCTTCACTAAATCCAATGAAAGGGAAAGTATCCTCATAATAAATAATTTTTCCATTGACTTTAAGATTTTTCTTGAAGAGAAACAAAATGTTATTGAGAGCAGTGGAATTATTTTTTTCAATAAGGACTGGTAAGAACTCAGAATGTTAACTTTCATTGTCCATTCATACTAAGGACCAGTTACTCTTCAGCATACTCTCAACAGCTGTGACCATCCACTCTTAAGATAGATTAATTTCAGTGGAAAGACAACAGAGAAATCCTTTAAAGACAACATGGAGAAAGGAGAGCTTTTATGCGGGAGGAAGGAAAAAAGAGACAATTCACTTCCAACAGAATGGAGGCTGAAAAGAACTGCTCTCCACATATTAGGGTCTGAAGCACTATGAGAAAAGGTGCATTTAGGCTAATGTTGGCTCAAAAGCAAGTGGAATAAATTATCCAAGAACTAATATACTCTGGAAATGTGGAAAAGCTTTCTCGTACCAGAGCAGTGAGATACTGAAACGCTTGCTTATAGCAGTAGTGGGATCAAACTAAGTGTACTGCTTTCAAGTGGAGTTCAATAACTATCTTGATGAAGTTGCCTGAAATACAGAACCTCTTTTAAATGACCTAGCAAGTCCATTCAAGCATCATCTCCTTGAAGTCACCTGAAGGTACATTCAGAAGACCGACGGATGTAAGTGCCTCTCGTGTGAAGTCAAGACTTTGATGCCAATGCCAGCTACAAAAACTCACAGTGTTTCTGCCCAGCTCAGCAGGCAAGCAATTCACCTGCTGGCAGTCTAGCTCATGGCTAAATCTCAGGATTTGAAAATTGTGTGTTTTCAGGCAAGATGTGGTCATACTTTCACCCATCCAGCCTCACAAAAAGATGACAAGCCTTTTAATGAAACTGAGTTTAAAGCACCTATCTGGAATGTAGCAAACTGAGTTAAATTTTTTCCACCTCCTGTGCATCCTGGGAGATGCACGGAAAGATACAATGACCTGCTCACAGTTGAGCATTCTATGAGATAGCAAGATACCTAGAAGTTATTCACTGCGATTTGCTCTTGTGAATCTAGTTCCTATACTTCTGTAGAATTAGATGCTTTAGTTAGGATGTAAAGCAGGAATTTGGTTACAGACAATTGTCAGCTTTTTATGGGTTGTGCGTTAATTATACCACGGCAGCAAAGCTTTATTAGCGACCTCTGTAACAACCTAGCAAAGTCTGTATCTCAAGTACACTCCAAGTGACTACATCTGTATTGATTGCCAGATCAGTGTGATTTCAAGAGCAGTTTAGCCACTTCTGTAGCGTACACAACCCAAACTAATGAACCATCACAGCCCAAATTAGCTTCCCAAGTAACCTGATTTGGCAGCCCTGTTGTGCGCTTCCAGAACTGAGAAAGCTGTGTTGTAAGCAGCTAAAGTACATCCACTAAGAGCTACTAGCTATGTCTGTACTTGTAAATTAAAGAAAGTCAGCACTTGGAACAACTAGATCATCAAAATATTGTTGGAATGACCCCTGCCATAATTTTGTGCAATCCAGGGAACACTCTTCCAAGCAATGCCAAGGCATGATTTGGGAGTTGGCATGGTCCAGGAATAGACAGTCTGCATGCTGCACCTGTGCTTCTCAGGCTAACAGGGTTTAATTTTGTTAACACAGCCAGATCAAGCCAGAAGGAGTCTTGGCACTGTACGCATGCAGTAACTCCAGGTCAGTTTGCATCTTGCCAGACATGAGATGACTCCATTCAGCCACTGCTTCTGCACCATGCTCTGAAACAGGGTATGTTAGCACAGAGGCAGTACTGAATGTGAGACTGCATCTCTTGCTGAAGTCCTGTGCCCAGATTAAAAAGTCCTCAGAATTTGGCAGAGGAACAATCTATTGGCACTCAATAGCCAGACCAAATTTGGCAGGGTCAGCAATGAGCTAGTGCTAACAAGACCAGCTGTAACCAAGCCGGGGTACAGATGGGCCTCTGCACTGTTTTCTGCAGCATCTCTGGTAGCAACATACCTTATTAGCTCATCCACAATGCAAGATCCAAGCGGTCTCTGTGCATGCACTGGTGTTAGTCTTGATCTTACAGGCTTGCCTGCTACCCAGAGCACCAATGGCTGCACTGAAATACCTTAGTGACTTTGGGGAACCAGCCCTGCTCCACTAGGTTCAGTGTTGAATTATATTTAGCAGCAGTTCTGGACACCTGGTGGCTTCAACCTGTTAATCAAACAGATTAGGCTAAAATACAAATAGACTGTGAGCATTTATGTAGATGTATATTTGATATACATATATATGAAGATATACAGCCCATATATACGAATTTAAGTGAGAATCATATGATAAAATTTTAAAACTTAAATTATAAAAAAATTTAACATCTTTCAATACGAACCTCATACAAGACAAAAACATTCTGCGTATTTGTTTCAGTTTAAATTTGATAGCAGAAATAAAGATGCAAAACAGAATTACAGACCACGATTAGCTGGTCCTGTATTTTGTTATCCAGCATTGTGATGAATATAATACCTATGTTACAAGCCTCCTTGATATATGTAGTATATGTAGCTTTTACCTTTTTTTTTTTTTTTTCAGTCAGAGCAACACTATTCTGGTAAGTGCTTGGCATGAGTAGAACAAACCCAATGTATTTATACATATCACTGTATGTTATTGGTGCATCACAAATGAAGTACAGAAACATACTGGATGTTCACCTACAGGAATAGCATATCATTAGAAAACAGAACACTGCAACTTCAAATTCTTTTGTTATTGTTGTTATGGGTGAGGAAAAAAAAACAGTTCCACTACATCTGACATCCCTGTTTGATTAGTGTCATGTGAACATCCCTGCAGAACAGTCACACATCTTATCTGAACTCCAGTCAGTGCTCATTTTCAGAATATGTTGTACAGCTGTTCTTTCTGTGTAAGATGATCTTTCCTCTGCTTCCTCAGTCCACAATAGTCATTAAGAAAAACTTTGCTCCCTGGAAGACAGTAGGGACTATAGTTTACAATGAATCCACTAAACCAAGCAGCGCTATCCCTGGAGAGGTGAATAGTTGTGTAACTTGGCCCACCTTGTTGCATTTTTTTGTTTGGGTTTTGAAAGTTATTTACTGCAACACATGGAGAAACAAGAGATAAACATGGTTAACTCAGCCATTCTCCCATAGTACTCTCCTTCTTCTTGCTGGGTCTCTCTTTCATGTACTCTATTTACTTCTTGCGTTCAAAGTTTTCCTCTCTTTGTTTTGTTTTTTTTTTATCATGCTTCACTTGGCTCACTCATCCTTGCACCTCCAGCCTTTGTTGTTTTCAGTCTTTAATGATGATCTTTCAGTTAAGAGCTCACCAAAGTGTAGATCATGCTGAATGTAAAAGAAAGACACAATATGAAAGTATCTTTTTGAAGCATACAGAGCACTTTGATTTTTATAACCCTTTACTGTCTGTTCCTCAGGTCTGACTGTAATGGCCTATTCGTTCCTTTGCATTCTTTCTCTCTCTCTAAAGCATCTTAATGATGGTGTACTCAAGATGGGTATCAAAAAGCACTCAAGAAATAACAAATTCATTATCAACATCCTACTGTACCACAAGCTGTGTATGAGATCATTAAAGCGCAGTCTGATGTCTGAATTTGAACAGTGAAGAAACAAAACCATTTTGCTTTAGTGTGTGTGATCTTTAAGGCTTCAACCAGCAGCTCTCGGCAGGGCAAGCACAGTTTCCCGTTAAACTGCATTGTTTTGTTTCCTTTGGAAAAAACTCCATGCAGTAGAAGAAACATAAAATGCAGACACCAGCTGGAGTGAATCCATACATACTAAATGCAACTCTGAAAAGTGAAGAAATCGCAGTATATTGCCACAGCTCCATTCTACTGCAATTCTAATTCTGACAATACCCAGGAAAGCACAGCAAAATTGAATATCATTAACACTATTTTATTTAGCACCAGGCAGTGGATTTTGGCTTATGACCACATTTTAGAATGAAGGAAGCAGGGCTCAGAGGAAGCTGCACAACAGTAGAGTCCCAGCAGAAATGCTAGACCACACTACATAGCTGACTTTGACAGGGTCCTTTAGCCAGCACAAAAATGTGGATTTAAAAATGCTTCTCTCTCCAGCCACACCTTGCCATCTCTCCTTGCACTACCAACAGCACTTGTCTAGCATAACTGCCATGCTTTCCACTCTTGTCACCATGAAGAGGACTAGTGGGCAAAGGTGCTCGGCCCAAACCCATAAAGCTACTGGATGATAAACTCCTGCTCAGATCCTCATGCCCCATCGATCTCAGTGTGAGCTAGGCACCTACCAGCTTCTGTGAGTCTGTGCTGTTCTACTTTCTCTCTCTCTCTCTCTCATGTATGCAGACACAGGCACATACACATGTATGCACGGACAAAAAACTTTTGTTGTCAATAATATTTAAAAGTAATATTGAGAACAATAACCTGCAGCAATGACTTCTCAAGATATGGGGAACAACAGAACAGATAATGGACCAGTGACCACAGGGGAAATAACATTTATCTTCTTCTACTAACGTACAAACCTGCCTTACAGAGGGATTAGTGCATGCAAGACTGGCTTCAAGAGGCATTCTATGTAAATGCATCATGGAAGAAGGAGCAGAAGAAAGGCATCATAAAACAACACCTCAATTTAAAGTGTTTTAACTTTTGTTGTCAAATAGTTTTGTGGTGTGATTACAGAGGTGACTAAAAGCACAGAGATTCTGCCAGGGCCTTACCTTAAATAGGATCCTCACATACTCTTGCACTGGGCATTTGTGACTGTGCACTAAGGACATATGACAGCTGAAAGGGGCAGGGGGGAAAACACACAATTGGGGTATAGATCTTCAAGAAGGTACTTAAATTAGGGGTTTGGACCATGGACAGACTTACCCTGTAATGAAAGGGAGGCTGTAGGAATGACTACAGGCATGGTGCACCCCACTTTGCTTCCCACTGTCTACCTACCCATTTACTTACTATCTTGAGCATCACTACACCAGTAGATATAGTATTTTTCTTATGATTCTCTTGAATCACAATAACATTATAATTTTTATTTGATATAATATAATTATCATAACATTTGGTATTTCATCCATCCTAAGAGACTATGCAGAGGAACAAAAATTTTTACCTTGGGTTGGCCCTGGGGCCTGACTCAGGCCTTAGATAAAACACTTAATATTCTGTACTGAGGTGTCAGCAGATATAAGCACATGCTGCTGTAAGTGGCCATGGTTCCCTGAATCCAGATCAGAAGCAAGTTTTACAAGACTAAGGAAATGAGCCAATTGGTTACCAGTCATTCCTAAATACAATTTCACATATCACATGAAAAGCAGCTACTATTTCCTTAGTGAAATGACCAGACTTACCAGTACAGATAGTAGAAGAAGGAAAGGAGATAGAAAGCTAGCTTACACCAGGCCTCTTTTTGACAGTAACTCAAGGTATCTGCATTCATGACTGCAGGTGGATCATATGCTAGCTCTGAACTATCTGCTGGGCAACGAAAATATCTGAAAGAGCAGGAAAAGACATCTAGAATGACTCTGTAGCATTCTGTATTAAATATGTACAGATATACACCCTCCTGATCACCAGCTCAGAAGACAACCATCTTCCATGATATAGGAGGAATTTTCCTCTCTTTTTCAAGCGTCATATTTCTGGACATTGTTAAAATCAGGACGTTAGTCTAAGCAGACCATTCTTACAGAATCAAGCAATTCATCAATGTGGACTTTCTGTGTTCTATTAATTATTTAGATTGAAAGTTTCCCCCTTCCTATATTGTTACTTCTGGTTTACTCACTAATAACTTACATATTCTGAGTGACAATATATGGTGGCTTGTGATCACAGCATGCAGGAAGGATTACTGGGCTTTAACTGCATCTACACAACTCATTTCAGACATGATGAAAGCTGACAGTCTCAACCAACTGACAGCTCAGTTTCTCCAACTCTGAAAAGGAGAAAAGTCAATATGGAGTAATATAAGAGCTGACTGACTAATGTTTTCTACAGGTAGCAGTGCTCAAAAATTTATTATCTGAATAATTTTAATTGAAAAATGTTTTCCTTCTTACATAGGAGAAACTTCTAATTATTCTCAGCAATGACTGGATGTCTAAGAAAATCCTGACAAAAGAACATTTTTGACAAAGAAGCTTTTGTCCCCGTTACTTTGCAGTAAAAAGCAAAAGCAAACAAAAAAAATGAAGTCCTCAAAGTTAATCATCTGCTTTAAGATCAGCATGAATCACATGAAACTTTGTTATTCTTGTTGCTCTGAAACAGTAATGTAACCACTGAAGATTGCTGGTATTGTTTATACATAGATAGATATAAAATCCACATACAAGTGACCAGGAGCAAACCCTGAAAGTAAATGTTCTCATAATAACCTTGTCTTCCTCCCTTCCTCCTTTCTAATATTAGTCACATCCATTCACAATCTCTAATAACCCTGCAAAATCTTTTACAGAGACCACAGCTGACACCTTGCTTAGTCATCTTCATCAGGATGAAGATATTACACAGTATCTTCCCATGGTTTTGTGCAGAACTTTTCACAATGAACTCACACTGGTCTGTGGTTAAAACAGCAGAAATCATGGAGTAATTATAGAAAAGCATACGGAGAACCATGGAAACAAAGAAAATCACAAGTTGTCTCCAAAGGTTGATACCATTATTTAGAGTCTGAACATTTTCACCTTGGACATAAAACACAATTATTTTTTTTAACTTTTTAAATCAGTATTATTGTCTCACTTTGATTGTTAATTCTTAGTAAAACAGCAACATAAAACATTATTATTGTTATTGCACCCAACCAATAGTGAGAAAAGGACTTGTAGCTTCACTCCATTTAGCTTTCTGGGAATTATACTGTGACTCTAACTTCTGAATAATAGACTTTGTCATATGACTCTGCATATGACTAGCCTTTTGCAGAAAATCGTGTAAAAAAGCTACTATTTTTCAGTTCCTGGTTGAGATAACGGTTTTGCCTTCTTTACAGTATTATTCTTCAAGCTACTTCACAACAAGAGCTATTTGCTGCCATACGTAACTTTGTAACACAAAGAGACCCTGACAGGCAAAAATCATCTGTGCTTTTACAAATGTGGAAATGCAAAACTAGTGAAGACTCCAGACTGACAGCCACAAAAACTGATGTCTCTTGGTTATCTTCAGAGGCAAAAGAAGGCTGATTCTCCACTAGAATGTAAGGAAGATACAGCTGCACTGCCTGTCCAGAAAACATTAAAGCTGCTCAACAGCAGGTCTTACCTGATCAGCTCTCAAAGACCCTCAGTGAACATATGCACACAGCAGAGATCCAGAGCAGAAGCACTCTCCACTTTTTCACATGGGCAGGGTGAAGACAACAGCTCTTCATCTACTGCAATCCCTACTCCAAGAGTCTCTGACAGAGACTTCTCTTGCAGAACAGAAATTCCCTACCATACACCAAGAAACAACTTATTTTATACTGGGAAAAAAAAAGCATAAAGCTGCCAAAGAAGATGAGAAGCAAAATTCTGTCCACCTGCTCTATTTCACAACTCCAATGGAAAGGTTTCCTTGCTAGGGCTGAATGAATAGGTCCAAGATCTTTCAGATATGAACTGCCTTATGGTGAACTCCCCATCTGTGAAGTATTTAGAGCGTCATCAACTTCCACTTTCAGATTTCAGCCTATTTCATTTCAAATTTTTCATTCAGTTCTGGCGAGGACATCCTGATACCCTTTGGAATATTTACGTAAGTTAGTAACTTAAAGCCACATTTTTACTATTATGTGCTTTCTTTACCCATCCTAAATGTTCGTGAAAAATATTTATTTCTTCTCTGGAAATGTATGTTTCAGCTGCTTCTAGGCAAAAGCTTCTAGGCAAAAGATATTCAGCCATACTCCTATCACCGTACTTCATAGTTCATACAATCTGCATATATGCTGAGCTGGCAAATAAGGCTAACAAGCAGTCAGCATATAAAAGATGGGCTTACCTCCAGAAGTGATAAAAAAGCAAAGGAACATTTAACCCCAGTGTGAGCCACTCCTGAGCGCACAAAAACATGATGCAGAAGAGACTATGGATAGAGTACTCCGGCAACACGAGCTAAAAAGAAAGGAACAGAAATCATAGATGTCAGTAAAACACCTCTTCAATTTTAGTTACCTAAGCAGTTTTTCAGAAAACAAACCATCTCTGCAAGTCTCCTGTGCGTCTCTGTCTGTCCCTAGACATATGTCAGTTGACAGACAGCTTGGCTAGGAGTAATGAGCACAAGATGCAGTGCCAGGTTTGTCCAGGTTCTAACCATGGCTATACTCCAGGGGCTTGTTGAGGGGCATGGGAAAAAAATCACTTACTGTCTTAGCTGGTGCTCCAGATTTCTGTTTAAAAAAAATGTAGATCATATTACTGCCTCCCTCACAGAAGCACTGTGAGACTAAATCAATGTCTGTTCAAGAGAACTAAGTTTTATTACTGATGCATTCAGCAAGGAAACAATAAAGCTATTACTGAAGCTTCACTTCTGTATTGGAGGAGCCTCCTCGGAAAAAGGCTGCTTTTACCATTTTGATATGATCTATACACCCTAAAGAGATCAAATCCATTACTCAGCATTGCGAGCTAAAACCCACTAAGATAGGAAACTCACTTCAGAATCACAGAATGTTCAGGGTTGGAAGGGACCTCTGTGGGTCATCTAGTCCAACCCTCCTGTCGAAGCAGGGTCACCTACAGCAGGCTGCACAGGACCTTGTCCAGGCGGGTCTTGAATATCTCCAGAGAAGGAGACTCCACAACCTCCCTGGGCAGCCTGTTCCAGGGCTCCGTCACCCTCAGAGGGAAGAAATTCTTCCTCATGTTCAGACAGAACTTCCTATGCTTCAGTTTATGCCCATTGCCCCTTGTCCTGTTGCTGGGCACCAATGAAAAGAGTCTGTCCCCATCCTCCTGACACCCACCCTGCAGATATTTATAAGCACTTATTAGGTCTCCTTGCAGCCTTCTCTTCTTCAGGCTGAACAAGCCCAGCTCCCTCAGCCTTTCCTCATAGGAGAGATGCTCCAGTCCCCTCATCATCCTCGTAGCCCTCCGCTGGACTCTCTCCAGTAGCTCCTCATCTTTCTTGAAGTGGGGAGCCCAGAACTGGACACAGTACTCCAGATGGAGCCTTAGCAGGGCAGTGTAGAGGGGAAGGAGAACCTCCCTCGACCTGCTGGCCACACTCCTCCTAATGCACCCCAGGATCCCACTGGCCTTCTTCGCAGCCAGGGCACACTGCTGGCACCTGTCATCCACCAGCGCTCCCAGGTCCCTCTCCACAGAGCTGCTCTGCAGCAGGTCCACCCCAAGGCTGTACTGGTGCATGGGGTTGTTCCTCCCCAGGTGCAGGACCCTGCACTTGCCCTTGTTGAACTTCATCAGGTTCCTCTCTGCCCAGCTCTCCAGCCTGTCCAGGTCATGCTGAATGGCAGCACAGCCTTCTGGTGTATCCTCCACTCCTCCCACTTTTGTGTCATCAGCAAACTTGCTGAGGATACATTCTAACTCTTCATCCAGGTCATTGATGAAGAAGCTGAACAAGACTGGGCTGAGTATTGACCCCTGGGGAACACCACTAGTTACCGGCCTCCCACTAGACTCAGTGCCACTGATGGCAACCCTCTGAGTTCTGCCATTCAGCCAGTTCTCAATCCACTTCACTGTCCATTCATCTAGCCCACACTTCCTGAGCTTCCCATGGCTCCTCACACTTCTCGTTTCAGACCCAAGATGATTCTTTCTATTAAAAGAGAAAGTGAGTGGGCAGCTGGCAGAAACGGAAATTTATGTGATGTTGATTCAGAGCAGTTATTTCTAAAGGTATTTTACTTTTTTCTCTGCTTTCCCTTTTCTCAGCTGGCTTTCCTCTCTCATTTACTTCCAATGCCTTTTCTCAGAAATCTCTATTTCTCTTCTTCATTCAAGTCATAGAAGAGATTAATTTCCAGCAGCACATTTTTCTCGAAGCTAGACAATCCCATACACAGTTCATCTACATCCCTTGCTGCATCTTGGAGCTTCATCAACACAAGTGAAATCACAAAAAGCATTTGAGGGGCTTCTTTTGATGTAAATTCATTTCCATCTGTCAAATAATTAAAGTGAGCCCTATGTTTTAGGACAATGTAAAACCTACTGTACAGCTACTCCCAATGCCTACCTATTCCCATACAGCTGTGCTGCAATTAATTCCATCTTCTTGGTTCTAGGAATCTTTCCACCTCACATGGAAGGTATTTTTTTCACTTTCATTTAACTTCACTACTTCAAGTAATTAATACATTTGGGTATCTCTGTGTCTACGCCTTCAACTTAAACATTCTCAAAAGCTTATCTTATGTGGATGACAAATCATAACAATCACATAGTTCAGATTCCAGATGGCAGTTATTTATCACTGCTGGATTTTTTTTTCATTTTTAGAATGTGATTTACAATATGACTACAACTTTTCCCCAAAGAATGATTCATCTTCATCACAAATTGCAGACACGAAAGGTCTTCGTGATGTACATCTACCCACTAAACATCACAACACTTAAAAGCATATTACATTCATTATCACATATTTGATTTCTGATTCCAACATAATCCATGAATTTAGCAAGAACACAACCCTGGTGCCTGATCGGTGGGCTGGCTGGTAATATCAGGGAAGGAAATCCATAGTGAAAATTTACGCAGTGTATAAAAAAACAAAAGAAAAAAAATTCTGCTGTGAAGCTAGAAAGGACACAAAGGAAGCGGTGGACTCTCAGAAACAGACTTCGTTTCCAGTCACAGTTTCTGGTATAAATTAAATCTGCCTATGCTTTTGATAGAACAACAAATAGGTCATACATGTCTCTTCACCCCTTTCTTGGAGTGATATTTTCCTGTGGACATAAATAAATAAAGGATCAGTGCTCATCACAGTTTCTGAGAGAAATCATGCAAAGAAGCCCAGCCTGCAAAGCCAATTACAGTTTATATTCAGGCAATCTACCTAAGAGACCAAATCTAAAAGGAGGCAAGAGAACTGACAGCATAAAATGCAGAAAGATACTAACAGCGAGACTTGTGAGGAAAAGTAAACTGAACAGCTGAATAACTAAATAACTAAAAAATAACATTGCCTCAGTTCTTGGCTCTAAGAATAATCCTGCAGTTTTACACAATGCCCTCTGAAACCAGTGGAAACTTTTAACCAACTTTAGCAAACATGGAATTTGGCTCCTGGAAAGAAGAAAGCTGATTGAGAAACAAGCAACAGTCAATCCTTGTCGTTTCTGCTGAAGCAGTCAACTGCTTGCACAGACAGCTGTGCAAAAGGAATTAAACTAACACCTTCAATTCATTTTTGGGAGAGCAAATGAAGCTGTCAGATAGTAAATATGTTAGGATATAAACAGGATACTTCTATTTTGAATCAGGAACACCCCGATTCAGGTAACTACCTCTGGTTTCTGACACTGCTCAAGATGAAGTCTCAAGATGGTTACGGAACACAAGAGATGACTGTCAAGGCAGCACAATTCTTAAGGGCTGCAACTTGGCCACTTCGAGTCCCAAGCCAATGAATGGCATTACAAATTTATCACCAGAAATTCTGTTTGCTGACGTTCACCTGTGGAAGACCACAGGAAAGCTTGAAAAGGAAGTCAGCTTCTAGGAACACCCTTTTCTGTAACACAAGCAAGGGAAGGAAACTACTATACCTTTCTAATTTTTGCTCTGATACATATATTTAAGTAAACCTGTAAATATTGAAAATCCTTATTCACAGTCCATCATTTGCATTTAATATGTAAAATCTTAGGTGGATATCATACTCATATCATTACCATCTCACCATAAATATTTAATACAGCCTCATACAAAGTAGTACACACATACATGCACATGTAGATAGATTCTTCCCCTCTAATTCCAAAAAAAAAAAAAGAAAAATAAGGCAGGCTTTGCTGTCTATAGACATCCAGGTTTGGCTGAACTGAAGAATGGTAAAACAAGCACTGAAGAACCTGTCAAAAGTTTCTTTGTCTTTACAGGAATACAAAGACCTCTGTAGACTGCAGCTGCAGAAGGGCATCTCTCAGGAAGCTCAGTATAAAATAATTTCATTCAGTTTCCTATTTGCTAAATATATTCTGCTGTTCTTATACAAAAGATAAACCCATCTTTTTCTGTCAGTACTTTTCCTCCTTATTCTGTTTATCACATATGGATACCTCCTTCTCAAATGTAATTTTGCTTTACAGAACGTTGTATCATTTTTACACGGAATGACTCAGAGTTTGCGTCGCCAGTCAACAGGGCACATAAAATACCTCACAGAAACCAAAACTGGGAAGATGATATAGCAGGAATAGTAGTCTCCTTTCATCAGCACTATTAAATTCTCATGCTTAGAAAATCAACTGTAACAAGCGAATCAAACTGTTTTCCCAATCACTGTTTAGTCACTGAAATGTCAAGACTTCATGCTTCTTTCCAGCACTTTGCTTAGGACTAATACTCCTAAGTGCAACAAAATAATAGTAATTCTCTTGGAATTGCTGTCTCTTCCCCAAAAAGTATATGGGTCTACATCAGCCTCCATCTGTGCACACCATCCTCCATACTGTAACCACAGATTTTACACTGTAGAAAGAAATTGCCAGCCATCAGACACTCTACCCTTCCCAGGGTTTCTGAAAGTCTTTATTACGCTGTTAGAGGCTTGAGACAACTTCCCTTCTTAATGCCTGCCTTCTCCTCCCGCAGATGGCAAGGAAAAAAACTGAAGAGAAATGGAGGTTGTATCTCCTTCATGTAATGTAAGAGCTCTGCTGATTATCCAAGTGGAAACAAGTTGTTCACCTGACAAATGCACAAGCCCTTTTCCATCCACCTAAAAGCAACAAGAAACTGGAAACATCGTGCATGCATGGAATCATGCTTCTTTTTCGCAGCAGTCAGTGCTGCTGCGCCCACTTCCACTAAAGGGTAGCTGCAGCTTGTCACTAAGGTGCTCACTTTGCTGCTTTTTTTCCATATTCCTTGCTAAAGTTGACATACTGAATTTGTCCTTATCAGTAGCA